TGCGAGCCCCACCTTTTCCCCACGTGCCTGCGACAAACGGCTGAGAATCAGCAGCGAGGGAATCCGGTGACGCGCGGAGGAGGGAGTGAGCGCCTCGGGGAAGGGCTGGTGACTGGGGCGCGATCCTCGGGGACTTGGTCTTGGAGAAGGAAAGAATAACGGAAGCCCCTGGGGTCCAAATACCCCGCTTACTTGGCGTCTGCCTTTTCATTCATTCACCAGGGCTCCGCCGTAGGCCGTAGAAGCTAGGAAGCTAAAGGGGACACACGGATAAATATAAGTGATCCGAGTTGCTGGAGGCACAGGTGATGCTTTGCAAATAATAAAATATGATGGGAATGTAAGAGTGGGGACTGCTTTAAGCCGAACAGGTTTGTTTTTGTTGCTTGGCGTAATTTTGCAGTACTGACAATTGGACCCTGGGGCGCTCTACTTGAGCTCATCTGTAGTCTTTTATTTATTTAAATTATATTTATTTATTTACTTATTTAGAGACAAGGTCTTGCTAAGTTGCCCCAACTGGCCTCAGACTTGCGGCTCTCCTGCCTCAGCCTCAAGTAGCTGGGACTAGAGCAGTTTTAAAGTTTGCCTCTTGGGCAGCTGGCAAAGATGAGAAAGAGACAGGGCGCTGATAAGCAGGATGAGGTGATGGTGGTCTTGTGTGCTGTGAGGGGCCCCTCTGAGTGCTGTGTGGAGGGAGGATAGAAGCACAGGGGTGGCCGGAAGAAGGCAGGGGAGGCCAGGGGGCGAGGGCGGTGCCTGAACCACCCATAACAGGTGTGGCCGGCAGAGGGAGAAGAGAAGTGACTTGGGGTGTCAGGCGCCATTTCTGTCCTGCTCACCCCACAAGCACCCTCCCAACTGACAACACCCTAACAGTACCGTTTACCTCTCTTAACCCGGGCTGGGTCCCCTGGTGGCTGCCCTGTGACCATGGCCCAGCAGCAAGTTTCTGCTCTGTTCAGATCTGTGCTTTCACCCCACACTCAGCCTTGTGCCCCGGAGGACTTGGCTCGGGGGTGGTCAGAGCCGGCACCCCCAACTCAGCCAGCTCAGGACAGGGCAGAGGGAGCTTTGTGGTGCCAGAGAGCACGGGGTGTGAGCGGCCAGCTTGGCCGACACCGCAGAGGACCGAGCACAGGGCTGGTGTCATTGAGGCGGGATAGTGCAACACGGTTGAGGCCAGGCCCCTTGCTCTCAGCGGGGTCAAGCTTGCTCTGGTGGGTTATGTTTTCGTGTGTGGAGCCCTGCCCTCCAGTGCTGAGGAAGTCTGTGAACAGCACCCCTGCCTTCCTCTCCTTGGACCCTGGAAATCCTCAGCAACCCCTCCTGGGCTCCCTGCTCTTCTGGGGCTGGCAGATGGGGAGGTGACGGGCTGCAGAGGCATGTGGTGGGGAGTTTGGTGCCCTGTGCCCCCCGTAGATCCGCTGGCCGAATTACTGCTTGAGCACAGAGCGAGGCACAGGTCCCCTGGTGTTTTTTAAGCTCTTCCTCTGCAGATCCTCTTCCCAGCGCTCTGAAGAGTCCTGGGATATCACCCTACCTCACCACCCTGAAGAGTGGGGCCAAGGGAGGGCCTGGCGTCTGCGTCCCACGGGCCACCCCCACCACCCCAGGGACGCAGACAGCACGTTCACATCCTGTGCAGCCTCCCACAGACAGATGCATGGGCCGGAGTGCCCATTTCCCACTTAGCCCAAAATGACCCTGGGTTTTTTGCCAGATTCCCATACTGCTGTCCCAGTACCCCCGGTGCCCCCACCCACCCACAGGCTCTTTGTGTGATGTGTGGTTCTAGAATGGATGGGAGAAGAAAATAAATCCAAATCATTGACAGGGAAAAAAAAAAACCATTGTCCTAAACAGCATTTGTACAATTGAGAAAGCAGATCGCGGACTGTGTGTTAGAAAATACTATCAGAGGCTGGAGGTGCAGCTCAGAGCATTGCCCGGCCTATGTGAGGACTGAGTTCCTTCCCTTCCCATCCCCAACAGAAACAGTAATGATAATGGCAACAATATTGTGTCTGTGGTGAATTTCCTGTGTCAAATCTCATTTTTAGCTCACCTGTAGTTGCAGCACTCTGGGAGGCGGAGGAAGGAGGATCTCAGGTTCAAGCCCAGCCTGGGAAATTTAGTGACTTGGTAAGACCTTAGCCCAAAAACACAGGGCCGGGGATGACTTGTGCTGTGGTATGAGAGAAGGCTCTGTTCTTATACGTGTGGATGTTAGGAGAGAAGAGGTCCTGTAGGTGAGACACTTACAGACACACAGGTTACTGTAGCAGACTCTTAGCAATTGGTGAAGCTCCCTGCAGCTGTACTGTAAGTTTTTTTTTAGAACTGGAGATCAAACTTGGGTCCTTGCACTTGCGAGGCAGGCAGTGGAACCACTGAACTAAATCCCCTGCCCTTGTACTGTAAGTTTTAAAAAGAGATTTTGGATCGCTTCTTGGCCTTTTGGCTAAGATCAAGTGTAAAAAGAGATTTTGGTTTGGGCTGCGATTTATCTCAGTAGTTCTGCTGCCTGCCTCACAAGTGCAGGGTCCTGTGTTCGAACCCCAATACCAAAAAAAAGAGAGAGAAATTTTGGTTTGTTTTGGAACCCAGGGCCTTGGGCATGCTGGGCAAGCACTCTATACTGAGCCACACTGTTGGTCTTTATAATTTGGGGATAGGATCTTGCTAAGTTGCCCAGGCTGGCCTTGAATTTCCTCCTGCCTCAGCTTCTCAAGTAGTAAAATGATTTTTTTTTTTTTTTTGAGATAGGGTCTCACTCTGTAGCCCAGGCTGGCCTTGAACTCACACTGATGATCCTCCTGCGTCAGCCTCCAAAGTGCTGGGGTGACAGGCATGCACCACCAGGCCTGGCCC